GTTTTAATAGAAATCGAATCTAGAGTACCTTTTAGCCCTTCACAGTGGTAGCTTTAATTTGATTCAAGATTATATAGTGATTTTAAGTGCTTCATGAAATGTATTCAAATATTTAGTAAGTTTCGCTCTCGTATTGTATTTGCAGTTTACGATCATTCTACATTAAATCACGAAAGAGATTAGAACCTTGCTCTCCGTGGTACTATTGTATTGGTCAGTAAAGTATCCCCGAAAGCTCTTCAGTCCCTACCACATGATCTGGTCCCGAAATTCGAGACATGTCATCCTGGTAGTTACACTCACATTAGTTCTAAGAATTGTTATTTATTAGTTATTAAGATAGATTTTTGTCCGCAAACATTTCTGCATGTCTGCCGTTTGCGGAAAGTGTTGATATGACACCGGAATATATAAAGACTGATTCTTGACATTTCCTACTTCAGTTTTGATCGAGTTAAAATGACGTGTTTAATGCTGAGAAGTGTTCTTGAATGTAGTCAAGAAAAAGGAGAGATCAATGACTATAGTGTAAACCGAAGTGTAAACCAAATATACGGAGTTTGAAAAACAGAATAAATACCATTGCAAGAAGGATATGAAAAGGTGGACATCTAATAGAGCAAAGTCTTTAAAATTTCCCGCCTTTTTACTTTGAATACGCGCGCACGTCCCCATGCCGAGTCTTCCCGCGCCAACTTCTTTAAATTTGCTCCATAAATTTTGATTTAAAGAGCTGGAATTAAAAATGAGGATGGTTTGAGTAAAAAAAAAAGAATAAACAAATAAATGATAATAATAATAATAATAATAATAATAATAATAATAATAATGATAATAATAATGATACAGAGAATGCTGAATTTAATCGAGGCGTATATTGTGTAGGGTTTATTATATACATTGCTACAGGCTGTTAAAGAATATGGAATATTTTAAATTAGTTTTCCTGTTGTTTACAGGCTACTAAACGACTGCTATAGCACTAGACTATAGACTCTTTATTTATTTTTTACATTTTCACTATCTATTTTGTTCAACAGTACTTAAATCACTTATCTATATCGTAGTTGTATTATTTTGTTATTGACTTTAAAAATACGTTGTATCTCAGTGTCCAAGGCCCGGTTGCATAAAGCTCTCTTAAGATAAGAGCATCCGTAAGTATTGTTCCAAAACAATAGGCAATGACAATACTTACGAGTGTTTCTAAGCTTTTTTTATCTTAAGAGAGCTTTATGCAACTGGGCCATGGCCTTTGGGATCTCTCAAGGATACTGGTCTTCGAGTCTCGATTTTCAAAACGAGTCTCGATTTTCAAAACGTGTCTCGATTTCCAAGAACGAGTCTCGATCTCTAACGACATGTCTCGATTCCCAAAAACGAGTCTCGATTCAATCGAGGGGGTTTGGATCTCTCAAGGATTCTGGTCTTCGAGTCTCGATTTTCAAAACGAGTCTCGATTTTCAAAACGTGTCTCGATTTCCATGAACGAGTCTCGATCTCTAACGACATGTCTCGATTCCCAAGAACGAGTCTCGATTCAATCGAGGGGGCTTTTAATCGAGGGACGATCGACGATCGAGGAGGCTTTTT